TAAATAAATAAATAAATAAATAAATAAACAAATAAATAAATAAATACATACATAAATATATACACATGCGCACTTTGTTTTTTTATTTCATTATCCTTTTTATTGGTGTTCCAAATGTTTCGAAAATTAAAATTTCTTTTTGCTACGAGTTTGCGTTTTAATATAAGTCACGTCATTTGTAGCACATTTGGAAAACGCATCCCACATGGAAAAGAAAGAGTATTGGCTGTCATACCTTTCCCTGAGGCTTCGCCCGGGCTTCCTGATCAGTCTGTAATTCCTCCCAGGATAGCAGTTTCGGGGCCAAAATCTCCAGTGTAGCCGTAAGTCCATGCGGCGGTTCAGATATAAGCTATAATATATAATTTTTGTCACGCATTAACGTGTCACAGTCTGCGTAACAAAAGTTCGAGTCTAAAATGTTATTTAAGAGTGTAACGTTTACATTTTTGCTTCCGCCGAACAACCAGAAATCTTATAATAATGAACATTTTAAAAAATAACCAACTTTATTTGATGAGCGTGGTGTGTGGCAGTCAAAACTGATAAACTTATGGCTCTCTAGTTGAACGTCTCTGAACGAGAAGTGGTAATCCGAGTCATGGCGAAGGCCTACCTGTTTGCAGATCCTTTTTAATGCAAATGTATCACTTTGTACTCGGAAGTCGAGTGTTAATATGGCAAAGGCTGAACCCACAAGTACGGTGCCTTACCAACTGTGAGCCAACAACAGCGAGGCTGTTATCTAGTGTCATCCTTCTCTTTGTAGTGCGTTTTGTTGGTGGGACAGATATCATGCACATGAGGGCTATTGAAGTCAAACGTGTGTGGTGATTATGGCTGGATTGAGAATTCTAATGTGATCTGTAGAATGTTTAGTCACAAAAGAGCCAGACATTTGACACAGAAAGAAAAAGTCAAACAAAGTGGTAAACTCCGAAAAAGAATAATTAAAAAGCTATTGCCCTTAGAATTTGAAAGACCTCGTCGAGATACTTACAAAACGGAATTGTTAATGAACAAAGTCTTTTGCAGTTTATATTTTTTTGAAATGTTTATCTCTTTGACTCTGATTCCACTTTAATACTAATACTTAACCAGACAAGCCACATGGTAATTACTTGAATAACACAATCAAGTTGGAAGGCGCCTTTTCCAACTTGATTGCTTGACAGGAAATGTCAATTCAAGGAGGCCTAAGCCACGAAATGTGGTCGACAAGTTACTCGCTCAAGAAAAGTCAAGGCTAAACAATTGATTAATAGACATTATTTCGCAGTTCCAATCAACGCAATATAGACATAATCTAGACTTTTAAACAAAATATGTGAAATATTGCTAGCTATCCATGATCCACAAGGTTAAAGGAAAGTTTAACTTGGCTTAGAAAACTCATTAATAATTCATGAAGAAAACACAATAGAAATCATGACCATGAAGGTGATTTTGTATCTGATATAGATTCGTCTTTGTTTGCATAAACTTTAACTTGGATTTTCCCTATCAAACTTGGTTCATTTCGTAAAGAATTCTGTACAATATGAGAACATACATCATGAGTTTTCTAAGCCGTTTAATAAACTCGCAGATCGTGTCTTATCGTGTCTAAAACCACTCGGCTGCGCCTCGTGTTTTATAMCCGATAAAACACTCCTGCTCGTTTATTAAACAGTACTTAAAGAAGCTAAAATAAATAACAAAACCTATCATTAACTAAAATATACATGTTATTTATTTATTTTTATCCACGCAGCAATATACAGTATAATTTATGCATTACTATTATTAACAAATAAAAATAAATAATTCTAAAGAGAAATGAAATACATACAATTTGTATTTTTTCATAGTTATTGTTGTTCTTAGACTTTATTTGAAATAAGATAAATTGTGGGAAAGCTTAAACCCAGCAACACCGGATGGACGTGTAAACACCAGTACCAACCTGCCCGAAGAGTTTCATGGCTAATGGCAATATTGTGAATTAATCAAAATTCTTTAACAATTGACAGGCAGACAGACACCTCATCGTCAGGATATTGGAAAAAGCACGAGGAATAGAAGCTAACCAGATAAAAAGAATAACATGGATCAACAATACGCAAAACAAACACTTAAACTACTCGTTCTCCTCAAATCAACGAACATTTTTTAAAAGAAGGTAGTGTAGTATGAAACACTGCTCTACCAATACCATTATTGTATAGCAGGATCCCTGTGGTTACTTAATGGTCTGCCATCTTGTTTCTAGGAATCAAGATTTAGGCAAAACATTATTAAGTCATCTCTTTTGGTTTCGCTATCTTCTGATTAGTTATCGGTTGCTATTTTGTATAAAATAGTGCTGCAATACAAACACTTAATCAAAGTGTATATCAAAGTGTAAATCTCAAACTGGAAAACATGAGATCGCCAACTTATTCAACACGACAGACAACACAATAACATCCAAATTGCTTTTCTGAATCTTGCCTAAATTGACTGGCGTCCGCTAATTTTCAGCTTCCTTCAGGATCTCTGTTAACTTTGGACGACGATGACCTCTCGTTACTTACTTTATTTCTCCTTGGTTGGTCCATTCTTACCTTTCTTTAGTCTCGGTAAGTTTTAAAATGTGGTACATTGTTGTGAAGGATTACACTTTCTTTGTCAAATCAAAGGAGAATTTTTATTGACAATTATTGCATCAATTTTCACTGCACATATATTAGCATCGGCTATTTTGGGTCATTTTATTTAAAAAATGAGAGTATTCAGACTCGGTTTTTGGGAAAACTAACTAGATACTAAGGATTAGTTTGGGRAAAAAATGTTGACGAATTTGACAGCTGAAGGTGTTAATTGAATTAAATTGCGAATCCAAAATTTGTAACATTTTCACGTTTTCTGCCGTACGCTTTAAATAAATGTAATATTTTAAGAAGGAAATTTATCAAGTTGCATATAACGAACATTCGAGCGGGAGTTTTTTTTTTAAACAAAATATTTGCCAAAACAGGTTGATCTCAATAAAGCTACCACAAAAAAAAAAAATGAATAATGAGAATTTGTGTATAAGGATTATGGAAATAACTCCCGCTTGATTTATTGTTATTGGCTACACTATGTTTGTGCCAATTTTTATCTAGATGAAATGAAACAGCAACGAGAAAAATGAGATTTTCTGAAACTATGAACTTTGTAGCGTCTCTGTTTAGGCTATAATTCCAAAAATAAATAAATAAACGAAAACACCAAAATCGTGCAATTTCAGATCGAACACAAGCTTACCTTAGCATTTCGATCGATTCTTCTGTATTACCGCTGTTTTATATGCTGCAATGCGAAGAAATAAAGCTTTTGCTCACCCTACCCCCCTAAAAATATTTTGCTCCTT